TGCAGCCACGGCGTACCGGAAGACATCGTTAGCAACCGCGACACTCATTTCATGTCGGCATTCTGGACTTCCTCATGCAGGAATCCGACACCAAGATGAAACCAAGTTTGCCTCGACATCCATAAATAGACGGGCAAACGGAGCGGGCACATCAAGCCGTTCAAATGATGCTTCGTACGCTCGTCCGTCCGGATCAGAAGGATTGGGTTGACCGCCTCCCCGACATCGAGTTCACCTACAACACTTCGTTGCATCCGGCGATCGGCGCGACTCCATTCGAGTCGCACCACGGTGGCCGGAAAGGCCGTATCTTCGCTGGTCTTCTCCTGCGACGACCAGCCGACATAGACGCCGCTTGCTCTCCCGCTTCCGTCCGGAAGTACAGGGAATTGCTGGTTCAAGCCCGCGCAAACATGCAAAAGTCTCAAGTCCGCATGCAGCAGCAAGCCAACAGGCGTCGCGTGCCATGTCCCATCCATGCAGGTGATCTGGTTTGGGTCTCCGTGGAAGAGTTTGCACTCGAACAAGATGTTTCGTGCAAACTGCTTCCCAAGTGGTTTGGACCATGGCCCGTAACATCAGCCGCGGGCGATGAGCTCGATGGGCCCTCGTTTGTGATCAACATCCCCCCGCATCTGATGGTTTATCCAGTCTTTCACGCATCGAAGCTGGCGACATACACACCAGCTAAGAGCGACGACTTCCCGGGCCGACGATCGCAAGACCCTCCATCTATGGATGGTCATCAGGAAGTTGACCGCGTCATCACGGATTGCAAGTACGGCAGCAAGCCTCGACAGTACAAAGTTACCTTCGAAGCATGCGATCCCGTCGACACTCGATGGATTTCAGGAGCAGATTTGAAAGCATCTGCCCCGCTGATCTACGCTTACTACGAACGACAAAGGTTAGCTAAGGAAGCTTCACGACCTGCCCCTCCCACCCGGACTTTGGTCCCTCTCTCAGACAGGCAGCTTCGCCCTCGCAGGTAAGCTCGGTCTTTCAAGGAGGGGGGTGTGTGGCATACTGCGCAGCCACAGGGGCCTTCCAGGCCCTGTGTCGTTTCAGCCTAAAAAGGGCCCTCCTGGCCCTGAGTCTTTTCAGCCTGAAATGGAGGGCCATTTTCAGGCCCTCATAAGATCGACCTGCCCTGAAACTTAGGCACCAGACCAGGGTTTTAGCACAGGCCAGTTTGGGCCTGTTTTCGAGACAACCATTGTTTGCACTTCAACGCCAGAGTCTGACACATTTTGGCATTGGCAAGAGCAGCCTCCTCGACGGTCCAGCACTATATAAGACTGGCCTGCCCTGCAGGCTGCAGGTAGTTCATTGGGACTTCCCAGGCACTTCACGTGCAGGAGGCAGGAGGCAGTCTTCAGGATTCAGCAGCAGCACTCTGGAGGAGCGCTGCAGTAGTAGTAGTAGTAGCGTTAGCAGTAGTCTTCAGCGCTGGGCGCTATTAGGAGCTAGAGTAGCGTCGGAGAGAGAGAGATGGATGGCGGAGGCCAGGGAGACTTACCTGTGGCGCCATATCTCCACCTTCGTCTTCGATGTTCCTGCAACAAGGCGCCACCTTCACAGGTTAGTACCGGACTGAGAGAGAGAGAGAGAGAGAGAGAGAGTTCTTCTTCTTCCTCTTCCAAGTCCACCATCTCTCCCTCACCCTCTCGCTACCTAACTTCTCAGTATCTGCAGACTACGAGAGAGAGAGAGAGAGAGAGAGAGATTGGTGACTTTGGGACTTGATGACATTTGGATCCAGACTCCACATTGGGATTGAGACATTGGACGAGGGATTATTTGGGACCTGTACCGAAGACTTGATGTTGACAACATTCCCATCTTGCCCTCTCCTTCGTCTAACCCCCCTCTTCTTCATCTGTGTATGGTTGGGGACTGGCACATTCTTCCTGTGTGAGCGCCAGGCCCCTTCACACCATGGAATGATGATGATGTATGTTTGGTCTGCATTGCGACATTGATTGTCCGGATCATTGGTATATTAGCCTTCCGCTGCGCTATCTTGTACTATGTGAGAGAGGTCGGTTCTTGTTCTGGTCTGCACCTTTACGGTATGCAACAATATGCTACCAGCCACTGAAGAGACAAATTTCTGTGGTCTGAGAGCTTTTTCACTTCGTCCATTGGATCTCTACTGGCACCTTAGTGCTGAGCTGTAGTAATTCATGCCATATTTTGTTAATCTGTGTCTTGTATTCTGCAATTGTTAGGGACCTTCTGGAGGATATCTGTGGCCTGCTCTTCTCTATTGGGTGGAATTCCACTTCCTCAGTGCTCCTATGAGGATGGAAAATCCCTCATGGCTTGAATGTACTTCTTCCATTGGATCTCCACTGGCACCTTAGTGCTGAGCTGTAGTAATTCATGCCATAATAGCAGCATATTTTATTTTTATCTGTCTTGTATTCTGCAATTGTTAGGGAGCTTCTGGAGGATATATGTGGCCTGCTCTGCTCTTGGGTGGAATTCCAATGCCTCAGTACCTCTGTGAGGATAAAAAATCCCTTATGGTTTGAACTTTGAAGGTCATTGTTCATATCTTCTTAAGTGGAGTTGAAAACAGCCATCTCTGAATCTGAGCTGAGGATCTGCCTCCTGATTGTGTGGCAGAGCGACCGCGAAGAGATGAATGGTGCTATGTAACTCCAGTTGTGGTCCTTTTCATGAAGCAATATGCTCTCTGTTACCAGCTGTCATATCCGTAGGCCTCACTCCCCAGGTTTCCATGTGAAGTCTTCCTGTAGTAGATGTCCGCAAGACTGGGGTATGCTCTGCAGCATCGCTGTGAGATTTCCAAAAGCCCTTTTGTAACAAGGATAGCCCGTTTATGGTCAGATGCTGTTAGAGACCATGGCAGGCCGGCCTCCCATGGTCTCTAGCAGCATTAGCAGGCTGGCCTGCTGATGAGCCACGAAGGATCAGCAGGAAGCATCAGCAGGAAGGATCAGCCCTTTTGTTGATAATTAGTGGACTGCAGAACAGAGGTTGTCTGAAGACTTCGTCTACTTGCAAAGAACCTAGCAATTCCAAACCAACGCGAACATGCAAGGTGAGAACATCCACAGGAAGTTCACACCGCACCAGAGAGATGACACATGAACCAGCGCCAGATATGTTCCCACTCAAAATATGAGAAGTTTACAACTGGAGAGTTCTAGTAACCAGCGGCAGTTGCTGCAACTCAACACTGCAATCCTGACTCAGGTATGTGCTCGACTCCTCCCTTGATGTCTGGTTTCTCTCTGTCTCCCTCTCCCTGTCTCTTCTCTCTTCTCTCGCTCAAGTCTTCGTCCTCTTGACCTTACTGTGCTCAAGCTCTCCCTCTCTCTCTCTCCCTCTAGGATCTGCCCTGAATACAACTGTGATGTATTCCCCGAACCTCCGCGGCTATGGTCGTCTCCTTGCTCCTCCCTATGTGGTAATCAGATGTCTCCTTCCTCGCTGGGCACTTGCTCCTCTCCTGATGCCCCCTCCCATCCACATCGCACTGTCGCACAAGTAACCCGCAGTACTTCCACAATTCGCATATGAATAGTTGATCCTTCCTGCTGATGCTGCTGGGTTTTTATATTTGCTGATCCGCCTTCCAGACATCTTCTGTTGGTTATGGGTCGGCCCTCTTGCCTTTGTTCCCTGCTTCTGGAAACTCGCGGATTCTTCTTGGGTTTGGCTGCTTGCGTGGATCAACTGACACCTAGCCTAACGGCCCTGGTAATCCTGGCTGAAGTTGTGGTGCCTCCTAAAGACAGACTTTTCAACCCATAAGTGTTATCCCCGAAGGACTTCCTGCCACGATCTACTTAACTAGCTCACCTAGGCTCTGCACTCATGGTACAAATGAAAGGTACTCTTCTAGAGTATTCATGCATATTGTACAAGTGGCTGGAACCACTAATGGAACACGAAATGGGACTCGGCATTAGAACCTGACTTGGGACTGGGACCCGGGACTCGGGACTTGGGACTGTGGCACAGCGTGCAATCCTTTCATTCTCTTCTTCTTCTTCTCTACCCCTTCATATCCACCCCTGTTCTATTTCTAATGTGAGAAAGGGAGACCAGAAACTGGTGACTATTCCACGGAGGCTATGCCCCCTGGTTCATATACTCTACGTTATATTCGGTGACGGTTTGTGGCACTGGGAGAGAGACTTTTATTATTTGGTTGTTGCATCGGAGCCATCACTCTCTTTTTCTGACTCTCCTTCCGCACCTTGTCCGCATCTCGCACCCCCATCTTCATGTGTCGATTTCTTCCTATGTGTGTTTTGCATGGAGGAACCTTTCTTCCATGTACAATCCCCTCCTTGCACTTTGACGCGATGATGATTTATGGGTGTGTTCATTGCTTGCAACTTTGCATGTGTTGTTTTATTCCTTGGTTCTGCGCATTGCCTATCTCCTGATAGGCATGGATCGTCAACCTCAAGCTGAATTCCTGAACACGCATCATGGCAGAGTGAAGTGACACAGCATAGAGGAAGGGTGCGGGGATGAAATTTATAGAGAGGTGGGAAGTACAGTTCATTGGGGTATGAGGCAGGGGAGGCATGATGCAGTACGAGGGGGGTCGGGTGAGAGTACACAGAGAATGTGCGGAGCGGGAGGGGGTGGAGGGCTAAGAAGAGGAGAAGGTAGTGGCCCTTGTGGGGAGAAGGGCAGGGATAGAGATGGGGAGTGGGCAAGAGGGGCCCATGATGTCTAAGGATGTAAATTTTTGGCCACCATGGGCTTTCGTCTACCTCTTTGTAACCCACCTATTTCACATCGCCCGCAAGATGCACCTTCAGCCACAGAAGTCTCCGAGGAAAAGGTATCGGCTCTGCTTTGTAGTTGGATGTGTTGGCCATGGATGCAAAGAAACCTGTTGATGTTGTTCTCAAACATTCCTCCAGGACGGTGGTGATCACATGCTTTCCCAATCGGTTTGACAATTGAACAATGCGAATTTTCTTGGTTTTCTGTGGGTGTTTCAACAGGTGCTTGACTGGATGCTTGGTGATGGGACGTCTGCTCTTTTTAGGCGAGCTCAGTTAAAAGCACTAGTATCAATTCATTCTCGAGAGGTAGGGGTTCCAAAATCTGCATCCTTTCTTTCTGTGTTTTTTGTTAATTTGGCATCTATTTTCGGTCACATCCACTCCAGGATCCAAGGGATCATAAATTTGGAGAATTTGCTTCTACACGTAAAACTGTAGTAAGAAAACAAAAGAAATAATTTATGTCACGATCAAATTGAAATATGAACCGAAAAATCTCACAAGTCTCGCTCTTCGAGCCTTTGATTTTGCAGTTTCTTTCAGTAAAATAGGATTGTTTGGATGAATCGAGTTTTCAGCCCTGAAAAACTTTTCGGCTTTTTCGAAGACCGGTCACATCCACTCCGGGATAGGGAGTTGTTCCTTCAGGCTGTGTAGAGTAAAACCTGCTTAGGCTAAGCAGATACCTAGACCCCTTCCAGAGCCAAGTACTCGTCAAGCTCAACCTCACATACATCCATGAACATTCACAGGAGAGTTCACACGCGAGAAGCCAAATCGAGATACAGTCAACACTTGTAGATGTCATCTCCTATACTATTATCAATATACAAGAATGTTTGCCTCCAGCGGCTCTGCCACACACACACACACAACGGATCCCAACCAGGTGGCGTCTCTCTCTCGCTCTCTCGCTCTCTCACACTCTCTCTCACACACACACGCACACACACACACACACACACACACACACACACACACACACACACACACTCACACATACACGCACACACACACACACACACACACACTAACCTAGATCGTCACCCTGGATACATCCACCCAGGTAGCTTACACGTTGGCGGATATGGCCGTTGTCCTCCTGCTCTACCTCTAGCCTAGCTATGGACTATCGCCCAACCGCCGTCTTCTTCTTCAGGTGTGCAGTGCCCAAGTTGCCTTAATGCACAAGCAGCAGCAGCATGCCGGCATCTCGCAACTGAAGAAGCAATGAGCCGGTGCACTGTAGCAGCTAAATATAGGGCTGGGCTGGGCTTGGCCTGGCTTGGCTTGGCTTGGCTTGGCATGGCCTGCTTCAGACCGGTACTGGTCGGCCGCGGCCTGTCTGCTGCAAACATTTTGTCAGTCCGGTAGCTTCCGGACTTTCCTGGTATATGCTGCAAAATTGGACTTGGGGCTGTCGGAACGGACTGGACTCTTACGGACTTTTCTTGTCGGGTACTGGACGGACTCCTACTGACCTGTGATGCTTCGGCACCGACACCTACCGACCTATGACGTTTCGGACCCCTAGGCCCTACGGCCTGCCCTACTGGACCGCCCTGGGACTGGAGACTTGTCCGGACCCTGGGACTGGGATTGGGTGTCTGCCGCGTGAATCCTTTCACTCCCGCCGGCCTAATTTCGAGCCCTCCAAGAAAATTCCTATTTGTATCTATCCTAGATGTTCATTCCTCTCCGAGCCCTCTCATAAAAGGAGACAATGTGAGGGGCTGCTTGTACTAGTTCCTCGCTTGGGAAGCAGCGGTCTTCGCTGGGTTCCTGATAGGCAAACCTGACCTTGTATTGCCTCTGCAGCCTCCCTCGGCGACCTGTTCGGAAAGTATCTTCGGCCACTATTTGGTCTACGTCATAACCTCCATCCATATCAGGTGGAATTGTGGAACATTGAGAGGGAAACTGATCGTTTGTAATACAGTGAGGCAACTTGGATGCGTGGAATACTGGATGTGTATGCAGGTGGGGTGGAATCTCGATAGTGTAGGACGGACCATCTGCATCTCCTTTGACATCTAAGACTTGCCATGGTCCCCTATACGCAGGTAGCAGTTTCTGCGAGATCCCTTCTTCCGGAACGAACTCAATAGATTTTACCTATACCAAGTTACCTACTACAAATTGGGATGGTCGTCGATGTTTGTTAGCTTGCTCTACCATCTGGTGCTGGGCCTTAAGGATGTTCTTCTTGACCTGCTCTATATCCTTCTCGTATTGAATGGCAAACTCCCTTGTACCGGGCGACAATCTTTGAATCTGATCTGGATTCGAGCAGTCAATCGGACATCTGGGTTGCCAACCTGTGTGCAGTTCATTAGGGGTGCGTGCAGTAGACAAGTGCACCGAATTGTTGTACACAGACTGCACTCTGGGAAGATGTTTGTCCTAGTTAATCTGGTCGGGCCTCACAACCTCTCCCCAATCTGTCCCTAGAATGAGGTCAAAAGGTAGGCTGCCCTCCACTAAGAGGGTCAGGGAGTGCAGAACTCTCTCTACCTTGTTCCCCCCCTCCAACTGAAGTATGCCTTTACCTCTTCGACTACTCTTAGACTACTCTTAGACTCTCATTTCGCGATGGTCTGCCAGCCTACTCATGACCGGCTCGTCCAGTTTCATAACCTTCGGTTTATGTAGCTACGCGTAGATCCACTATCAACTAACGCGCGTACTTGCTCTCTACTTATCTCCACATCTGCTAGTATTAGCTGCCTTGTACTTGCTCTCTACTTATCTCCACATCTGCTAATATTAGCTGCCCTGTACTCTTCTTCTTCATTTCGGCCCAAGCTTGGTGACGAGCGATCAGCTCATCATCGATGCTTGTGAGGGAACCACCCAGAGAAACTCTAGCACAAGCGGTATCCGATAGCTAACTGGGTGGGGGGCTACGTTGGTCTCTGCCATAGGGGCCTTCAGACAGGAGGGTACCTGTTCAGCGCGCACTTTTGTCTGTCTATTTATGTCTGAAGGCCCAGCAGGAGCAACAACGACTCCTACTGGCTGCCCCCTTTTGGGTAAACAAAGACTCCTACTGGCTGCTCCCCGAATGGTTCACCGGTTCCACCGTATGCTCTCATCTTTTTCATTTTCATTTAAGATTGAGTCTGCAGTGCGCTTCAGGTGTGTTAGGTCCATATTGGACTTAGGTTCTCTACATGTGCTGGTAAGTACGTCAGTAATCAACATACATTGGCCTTAGGTTCTCTACATGTGCTGGTAAGTACATCAGTAATCAACGTAAATACAGAGAAGACGTTCCTTCGTGCCTTGCCACGTCTGGTCTGGTATCCCAGCTAAACCTCGCGTTCACAAACTCCCCAGACAATGTGGTTGGGATCACCACATTTTAACCACTGGTTGGCCTTAAGCCTCGTCTCCCACAACGTTTGCTCGATGCCCGTCTCTTTCCATGGCTCTCCGTCCGCAATCCCTGGATGTGCTGGCCATGGTCTGCGCCCTCTATGTCTTCCACCTGTGGAGGAGGAACTGTGTCCACCTTGCGGGGAACCATTACCCCTACCTCCCGCGTAATAGCTACCTTCGCTACTACTCCCCTGGGTGCCACATCCTCTTCCTCCACCTCTTCATCGGCCTCCTCTTCCTCTACCACCTCTTCCTCCTTGTCACCCTTCCCCTCGGGCTGCAGCAGCCGAATAGTCCCCTCCTTGGGCTGCCCGGTTGCTGCTTGGGTCTTCCAGTCTACAATCAATGTTTTCTTAGTGCAGTTCCTCGACTCCACGGCCGTCAAATGTGACCAGAAGACTATCCTTTCCCTGTATGCTGCCATATATCATCTTGTTCGTCCAGCGACCTCCTTCCTATAAGTCCTTCCAATAATGGCAGTAGTTTGCCTCTTGGAGGAAGCCAGCGTGGTCTACGACCATCTTACTAAACTTTTCATAAGTCATGCCCTCGTCCTTGGTTTAGGCATACAGTTGGGATCGATGGGGTTCGGGGACTGCTCATGCAAAGTTATTCAAGATCTGTGTTGGAGTGAGACCATGTTCGGGGTACTGCAAGAGTTCGTCCATAGTGGCCTTTAGTGCCGAGACACTTTTCCATTTTCGATCGGCTATGTTAAGTATCAGTTGCTCGGTACGCCTGGCCAGGTTCTTGTCCTCAAAGCGGTTCTTTAAGGCCGAGAAGAAATCTTCAATGCAAGTATGCTGGGAGTATTCTACCATCGATGCGCACCTTGCCGCCTCCTTTAGGGAGAGAGCAAAATTTGCAGCATCTCCCCTGAGGCACAAACTTGCCATCAGGACACGGTCCTAGTATGGTATCATTTGCCCATATAAGTAGGTGCCCATGTGGGCCTCCCACTGCTAGAAGTTCTTCTCTTTTTCCGTGATAGGTTCGGGGGATCTTTACCTTCATCTTCTCTTTTTTCTCTCTCCCTCGGATTACCTTTCTACCCCTTCGGATCTCCTTCCTTTTTCGGGCCTTTGCCATCACCATCATCATCTCCACCTCCACCACCACTTGTTGACTTCATCGTGGGGAGGGTGTCTACTAATTTTGAGGTGAATATTCCTTCCAGTTGTTGTGCATATCCCCCGACGTGCTCATCTATCCGGTGGGCAGCAACAATCAAGTAGTTATTCCAGGTGCCCTTGAACTCGTGTTTGTGTTGTTAGAGTCGGGCAACAGACTTGTTTATAGCGGTGAGTTCCTGGTCAGTATGCATCAGGGCATTGACCATAAAAGCACAATCGTCTTTCCATTCCCCCTCACGACCTTTTTATTCTTTTAGCTGACGTTCAATCTCTTCCCCTTCAACTTTAATCTCCTCTTCTCCTCCAGCGCTGCCCTTTTCTTTATCAGGAGCCTCTTATGCAATTCATGTTCCCTTTCCCGCACCACCTGTTCCCTCTCACCGTCGTCCTCTGCCGCCTCCAACTTTGTGTGAGTTCAACCCTCTCAGCCTCAGACTCTTCTGCCCACTCATCTTTTCTGAACCCGAACTTCTCCATCCACGTCTGGGTGTCAACTGGGTAGAAATGCAGTTGACGGGACTCTCCCTTTCCGGTCCGCACACCTCCTTCAACCCTATGCTTGGGGTTGTCCAGCCTCACATCCTCCTCTTCTTCTTCTTCTTCTTCTTCTTCTTCTTCTACCACTTCAGCCTGCTGTTTCTGTTTCTCCACCAGTTTTAACTTCTCCTCCAAGTTTTTTTTCTCCTTCTCCAATCTCTCTTTCTCCTCCTCTTTCTTCTTCCTCTTCTCCTCCTTTTCCTTCTCCGCCAGCCTTCTATCGATCTCGGCGTGCTGTATAGCAGAGTATGGATG